TTAGTTTCTTGCAACTTAGCTATGGAAATAACTTCCTTTAAATTTTTTAATCTCATAACCCTTACCGAGACTTGTAATTTAGGCTTTAACCATTAGTTTTTTGCAACTTAGCTATGGAAATAACTTCCTTCAAATTTTTTAGTCTCATAACCCTTACCGAGATTTGTAATTTAGGCTTCAACCCTCTTATAAAGCAACTAATAATGTAGTCCTCCGGTAGCACCAAGCAACCTTTTCAAATAGGTTCGTACGTCATTCTCCTGCTTTAATCCCATTAGTTTAGCCATCGAATCACCGAACATCATATTTCCAAACCTTATACTCATCGTCTCTATATAATCACTCCACTTAATCGGACTATGAATCCCATGCATACGAACGTAAACCCGATGCCAATGCCTCATCCTTCAAGTGAATAGCTGCTATAGTCACCTTAGCTTCTTCAAGTGTTTTGTTGTACATAAAGAATTTTTCACACCTAAATACCCACCCTTCAAAGTCTTCCCCCGTAAACTTAGGGAATTCTACTTTGGCTACTCTATTATAGGTTTGATATCCATACTGCTCTCTACAGTGTATCCTCCATGATTATTTCCACCATTATTACTAGCGGTAGGCAATCTAAACTCGAGCTCGTAAAAGCCCCCTCCCTTTACATTATCATTCAAGCTTGGATTCAAGCCATTATTATGATCCATTCCTTTTTCTAAACTACCCGAACCTCTAGGTTCTTTACGTGATTCCCTCAATGATAAAAGTTCAACCTCATGCTTCTCAAGCATAATTGACATAGTAGAACACTTATCATTAAGATCGAAAGTACTCGAGATATTTACGCAACTCGCTTCTTCTAGCTTTTTCAACTCCATATTTGCTTTCACCATGTTAATTTAGATTCAACTCATAGGTGCGAGAATCAAGCTCGATACCAATTTGATGCGTTTCACTTTCTCAACTAAGAACTAATGTTGAATTAATAAGTTCCGTGATGAATTCAATGAAGAATGCAAAATCTAAATCAATGTAAAAATTAATGTATGCAAGAATCAAATCACTTTATTAGAATTAAAAGAAGTTGTTACAATCTCGGAAAGAAAATAGGAAGAAAACGAAAGGAACCGGAGAGAAAGTTAGAGGGAAAATTAATTGGCCAAAACAAAATGGCTTCTCTTGTTTTTCTCGTGTGATTTATATAGTAATTGTTTGTTAACCACCCTAACTAACCGACATGCCATGTGGCCAACTAACTAACAACTCAACAATCGACTTGGCCAATAGAATTTCCCGAGTGCAATCACTTAAGGCTTCTTACGTGTAAGTCTTCATAATTTCATAACCATCCTTAGGCAATCTTTAAGCCATTCTTAGATTTTTTCCGAGTCATCGGAAGAGTGCCTATAAGTTTCTTAAGGAGGGTTTTTCTGGTTGGTACGACTGGTTTTGGGAAGTAGAGAAGGCAAGTGCAAAAGAGAGAAGCTAGGGAAACGATATCAAAGCCGATGTTTCGAAATTGGAAAAAAGTGGTCACTAGGGACAGTTTCGTTGATGCTTAAGGTGCCATTACCGCATCCGAGATAAGTGTATTGTTCATCTAGAATCATTAACAAAAGACGTTCATAAGTTTTCTCCCATTCAAACACGAGTCCCCGGACGTATCGATAGTATTAGAAGGAGACAAAAGAGGATTTTATAATTGGCTTTGTTCAATCTTTATCATCGTTTTCTTTACGTGGTTCGAGTAAACCTAAGACCCATTCTTTTATTCATGTTCATCATTCCGAATGCCACTCATGAATCCTTGCTTGGCCTTGGCTCCTTGAATATGTAACACTCCAATGAGTGGCCTTTGGTTTTGTAGAAGCATGAATACTTATATGGATTACGGAGCTAAAATTGGTTATACTATCTAGTTCAAAAAAGAAATAAAAAATAAAAGGAAAATAGAAATTGGGTAAGAAGGAGAAAAAAAATAGAAGACTAAAGAGGAGGAGTGATAGGTCGGACTTGATTTAGTTCGGCTTAAAGGAAAAAAACATAGGCTCGGTCCAACTCGGCTCGAAGCGAAAAAAAAAGGAAAGGACGGTTATGGGGCTGGACTAGGCTTCGAAAGAAAAAGGAAAAAAAAGAAAAAGAAAAAGAAAAAGGGAGTCGGGTTGGGTTAAAGGTAGGAAAAAGGTTGCCTTTAAACCACTCTAGGCCCAACCAAGTAGGCCTAATCTTGTGGGCCCAATCACCTCATTTTAGCCTTTTGTCCTAGTTATTTTCATGCCTAGTTTAAATTAAATTCTTTTGAATTGTTGATTTATTCATTTGGTTATTTAATTGAAATGTTTAATTAGTTAAGTTTTAGGTTAAGAGTTAGAATAGATAAGTAATTGGCGAACGAATCGTCAAGTTTCTTAATTTTTAGAGACTAATAACGATTCATCACTAATAAATGAAAAATAAAAATAAAAAATAAAAAATAGAGATAAAAGAAAAAAAGAGGAAAATAGAGTATCCTAGGTAAAATAATAAAATAAAAAAGAAATAAAGATAAATAAAATAAAATAAATAGAAAATGTTAGGATAAACTAACAAAGTCTCTTATCTAATAGAGATTGTTGTTAGCCAAATAGATTATTTAGTTAGTTATGTCATTTTTTGACATATTAGTTATGTCGAAACTTAAAGTGAATCCGATATTTGGACTAACATGTCTCCCGACGAAGGGGTTCAACGATTGGTTCAATATGATGCGACTAACAAAAATAAAAACTTAATTTGGCATAGAAGAAAAAACTTGGAGTTCGAATTAAAAATAATTTGGCACAAATAGAAAATTTTAGGAGATAAATTTTAGAACTAAACCGGATGTGATAGCTTGCTTAGGAAATGAGGTTTTTGAGTAATCAATAATTTTTCAAAAACGTAACCAATTCCGTATCTTAAAATCTACGAACCACTACTTATTTATTAGGTTCCTAGTTCTTTCAATATTAGATAAGTATTTCCAAAATAACAATAACTCATATTCCTAGAAATCATAAAAATCATAAATAAAATTAACAAAACAATAATTTTTTTGGAGTTTCGTAGGAAATCAAGTAGGGGACATCCGGCTTAACCATTCGATTATTGAATCAATACTTTAAACCTGTATACATATTTGATCCTATTGTATAGATATTTGATCGAGCCCGGGAATGAGCAAAGTCCGGGTCTAGAACAGTAGAAGTTCATCTAAGAAATTAGGTTGGGCTCGATCCGGGTTTTGAAAGTGGCTTTTTTTTGGGTGCTAAATTGAATAGAAAACATTCTTTTCTTGCAAAGAAAAGCAAATTCACAAGATATTTGAAATGCGAAAACATGCGTATGGATAACCAAATTGTATTTAAAAGGGAATCCAGATTTTATATTTTTAGTAGAAGGTATTAGGTTAAAACTCTTGGAAAGGCTATTCTTGTTATGTAGCATAAGGCCATTGAAAGGAAAAAAAGAAAAAAAAAATTACAGTCATATTGGGAGCAAATAAAACAACTATATACATATTCATGAAAGGAAAAAACAACTTAATGCTCTTATTCGATCATATTACCAATAGAGATCGTAAAATTATTCGTTTTGATGGATATTTAGGAAAACTTGGCTTGATGGGAGCACGCATAGAGGATAATTTCTCCTCGATAAGAAAATGGGATGGAGCTAGGAAATTTGAATCCAATTATATATATATATATATATTGAAAAATTAATCTTTTAAAATAAATTTATTATTAGGTTTTTTTAGATTATTTATATTTAATTATGTATGAGAATTAAGGTAAATTTCAAGGCTTATATGGACTTAATATATATTTATTTTTTATTGGATATTAACTATCAAATATTGATTGTAAATACAAAAAATAATATTTTCTATTAATGAAAAATCTCCGACCCATTTCAAACAGGATGGAGAAAATTTTCTAACGGTTAGGCCGGCCTCTCAAAAGGAATAAAAGGAAATCACAATAGTTTCAACTGGCAATGAAGAGAAGAGAGAATCTATGGATATTCACAAAATCAAGCCAATAATAATTAATTCCTAAAATAAAGCACAACATTTTCTAACATTTTCAATGAAAATAATAATAATAATAATAACTATAAGGATGGGCATGGAATTGCGTCTTCGAGCCTTCATCCTGTTATGAGAGTCTATGAGCTGTAGAAATACTTCATTATTTTTAACAATAATTTAATCCCTTTGGTTTCAGAAACAATATCCTAGTCCGTTGACAACTCAGCACCTTATTAAAGGACATGATTAAGATCTAATTGTATACGAAATGGGATTTTTTAAAACTAGATGGACTAACTACTTATTTTTCTAAAACTTCAAGGACTAAATAAATAATTTATTCTTTATTTTTCCAAAATGAAAATCCATCTCACATTTTGGAAGTACTGGTAGAGCTTAGAATAGTGAGGATGAACATTATTACTTTTAGCCATTGTTTGATTTCCCATCTTTTGATTACCTTCCTCCGATATGTATAATATTGAATTCATTCGCTCTCCAGAAATGATTACTAGTCCTTACTTTTTCGAGAAAGATTTCATTGGTGGTCGTGATTTACGGATTTTTCTCAATCTTTTCAACCTCTGGGTTCCGTAGGAGCAAGTCGAAAAGATTGAGAAAAAAACTATGTGATTTAATTCGTTTTCAATAGCCCTGAGATGATCAATTTAGGGAACACAAACTGTTAAATAGAAACAGAAGGCAATGCAACCATGTTGCAAGAAGCCATAACATTCACTGTTAAACACTAGAAACAGAAAATTGTCCAAATATTGCAGCTTTCTTACCGTTACTAGTCTAATCTTGCAAAAAAAAAAAAAAAAAAACCTCAAAGATGAGGCATTCATTTTCTGATTTCTTGCACAAATTATACAAAGGCATGCTAGAACTCATAATTTATACATTCTATTGCTAAGCATTTTACAAACAAGAAAACACAAGCATGGATCCTCCAGTGCTATCTTGGACCAGAAAGGTGTTGTGCAGACATATAAGACATTGAGTTGTAAGAACTACCAGTACCACTTGTAAGGTTTGCAGGAGGGAACAATACAAACTCATTTTGCTCATTTGACCCTTCAATTCTTGATGCCTCACTAAATCTCCTGCCGTAGAATCTCAAGAAATTTAATGATTCCTGCCTTGGCTCAGTTAGAGGAGTTAGACCTTCCAACATGTCAACAACATTAGTCATAGCTGGCCTTAGCATAGGATCTTCGTGTAAACAACATAAGGCCACCTTTACTAGCTTCTCAACCTCCTCGTTCGTCAAGCGCCTTTCAAGCTTGGAGTCTGCGAGCTCCAAGTACCTTCCTTTCAGATGCATTTCTAGAGCAAGTAGGGGGAAATATGTAGGCCTAGGTTCCCAACCTGAAGAAGCTGAAGACGTTCCATTTCCTTCGCTGCTATCGTTCTCCATGCTTTGGCTTTGCGTCTGTACAGTACTGTTTTTCCTTCCCCTTACTATTTCTAGCAACACCATTCCATAACTATACACATCAGCTTTATCTGAGATTGTAACGCCAGTTAGCCATTCTGGTGCAAGATAGCCTCGTGTCCCTCTCATTGTTGTGAAGAGACTGGATTGTTCAGGGCTTAGCAGCTTCGATAGTCCAAAATCGGAGATTTTAACCTGTAAATTGTCATGTAGGAGAATGTTCTCTGGCTTCACATCACAATGTATGATCTTGTTCTCACAATAACTATGCAAGTAAGCAAGTCCCCTTGCTATTCCAAGAGCGATTTCAAGCCTTTCTTGCCATTCCAATACAGGTCCATGACCAAAGAGTGTTCTGTCCAATGAGCCTTTGTTCATGTATTCATATACCAGAAACCGCTGTCTCCCTTGCGCGCAAAAGCCTTTCAATTTAACAAGATTTACATGATGAGTGCTTCCTATAATTGCGATTTCGGTACAGAATTCCTTCTTTCCTTGCACACCTACATTGGTAATCTTCTTAACTGCCACAATGGTTTTGTCAGGCAGAGTGCCTTTGTATACAGTTCCAAAGCCTCCACTACCAACTTGAGTTCTAAAATTTTCTGTTGCAGCCACAAGGTCTTCATAACTAAACCTCACTGGCAAACCGGGGATAGAAATTATCTGAAGCTCAGACGAATAAGAATCGCCATGGCCTGATTTCTTTTTAGCAGTTCTAGACAGTCTGTTCCGTCTCCAAAAATGGAATCCTAAAGCAACAATGATAATCAAAAGTATCCCAGATGAAGGAAATAGAACCAAACCTACAATTGGAATTTTTTTAGTGTTTGCATCTGGGTCTGCACGCGAAGATACAACTATAGTCTTTATGTAGCCTAAGCGATCGCGGTTGGAATTAGAGGCTGCCATGATAGAACCCAAGGGGTTTTCAAGGACATAACAAGAACCTGAAGAATTTCCATAGAAGATGCCTAAACAAGAACAATTTCGCGTGCAAAGATCTTGACAAGCCAACAAACTGAGGTCTTGTTTTGCAGGAGCCATAAAACCATTAGCAAAATAGTCCATTCTGAAGTCTAACTTGACATATAAAACAGAAGAATTTAATTTTGTTCTATTATTACAACCTGAAGGCAAAGCAAGTGAAGCATCCGTTGGCGTGCAGCCACCTTTCGAGAAGGGATCACCATGGAAATTTGGTGGACAAAGGCATCTTCCACTAGTGCATAACCCCATTTTGTTACAAATGAAAGGAATCTGACAATCATCAGAAGGACTTCTGAATTCCTCAACCCAATTTTTATCAACAAATCTTCTAACACTAAACTTCCCATCAGACTCTATCTTGGCAAGTCTAAAATCTGCAGGACCCAAACTGATCTTAATCACAACAGTTGATCTATCACTTCCAAGCAAAAACAAACCTGCACCATTCAAGGCCAAAAATGAGGCAGGCGAATTGGAATCCTGAGAACCTTTTGGCTCCATTGATAGCTTCCAATAACTCATTCCCTTCCACTGCAAAACAGCATCAGCACCAGTAACTACAAGCCTGTAGTCACCAACTGCCCAGTCATTCCCACTCTTATCACAATCCAATGACGTCCCAACAGCCAAACTCTGTCCCATGACCACAGTATCAGTTGGATGATCAAAAGTCTCCCATAAAGAAACATTGTTTCTGTCCAGTAATACAAGATTTCCTGAATCCTGAAGCTCCATGACAGAAACCTGAGAACTTGAGCTCAATGTTGGTGTTGACCATACAACAGTTGTCGTACCAGAATTATCAGTCCTACTAATGACAAGACCATTTGTAGACAAGTACAACTTATCAGAATCAGAAATGGGGTGATTCCTGTTTGCTGTCCAAACTATAGAATCGGATTCAACATGAACGATGAAGAAATAATTTTGGGAATTCTCTTCTTTGAAATCGGATATGAAAGCTTGGAACTTGCCATTAGAAGAGATCAAGAACGCACCAGATTGGTCAATGAATTGGAAATGTGAAGCAGTGAAGGGTGGTTCAATGGTTTGATTACTGATGGGACCTGAGATGCAAAGATAAGGAAGAAGTGAGGAAGAAAAGAAGAGGAAGAAGAAGGAGGAGGAGCCCATAAAGAAAGAGAGAGAGAGAGAGAAACAAAAGAGAAGATTATAGTATAGAGTTTGAGTTTTGATCTTCATTTATTTTTTGGAAGTGTTAGGAAAGTTTAAGATTTGTGAGTTCACATTTGACACAAAGGTTTACTATTTGGACAGATGTGTGTTGACCACGTGAGGGTGGAAAGTTTCTTTCTTCGCCAAGTTGTGATGGAAGCGGGGTGGCTGGTCAATGCTTGGTGGATGGTCGATAATAAATAATGGAGGCACAAGGTGTATCTCGTTGACTAAGAGGGGTGCATTTTCATGTCTCCACTCGACCACCATAATTAGGTGTTGAGATTATAATGTATTTGATCGGCGAATTTTTCGGTTTTTTCTATTACAAGGTGTTGTTTGTAGCACATAACAAAGAACATAATTATCCAATAAAAATTCATACAATAAATAAATAAATTTATTATAAAATAAGATAAATTAAAAATTAAAACTTTTTACTTTGACTATTAAAAAATTCGAAATTAAAATCACGTTATTATATTTCACAATGTAAAAATGACTGAATCAGTAATATAGTTTTATACAAGAATTTTTAAGAGATTGAGTTAAAACACAATCACGTTGTTTTTTTAAGACGATACACATAGTCCGCAGAATTTATCTAATGCAATAGATCAAGGAGATATTGCATGTTGTCCTAGAGAGACAACAAGCTCGGTCACCTTATCGTGTCTTAATAAGTTTGTATTATTTGTAAGACTTAAAACTCTAAATATTGTTAGAGATCTTAGAAATGTTACATAATAAGTTACGCTTACTATGAAGGAAATTTAAAAGGTTTTTCAAGTGGGATTTTATCCCACATTGGAAAGGAATGAAAATAAGAGGCAGCTTATAAAGTGGGCCTCTAGCAAAACTTTCAAATATTTGATTGAGGGAATTGGAGGGAAAACTAGGATAATTGGTTGGAATTATATATATTTAAATAATCAAATACTAGCACTTAGCACATGTGTGATTAAAAAATTTATTTTTATTTCTTAATGTAATTAAATTCATAATTATTTAATTAATTACGTTTTTAATTTTTGCTACTGACTAGTTAGTTATTAACGACTTTCAAATCTTATGACTGTTAGAATCTAACGGTTATGTCTATTAGGATCTAACGATTATGATCGTTGGATTATGACTGTTAGAATCAACGATCATGTTTGTTATGAAAGGGTATCGGTGGTCTATAAATAGGGGACTACCGCACAAGATAAAATTAATTACATTCTCTACAATCCTTCGAGCATTATAGTGGGGGCAATAATCACCTTAAGGATAGTGTAGGGTATTTTCTACACGCAATTAAGCACTACATATTTCGTTCTTCTTCAAGTTCATTTCGATTTTTTCCAACAAATATATTAGCACTACTTTTACCTAAAGATAAAACAAATAAATATTATATGGTTTTATAGTGAAGGAATAAAGCATAAGAAAATTGAACGAAATATTTTTTATTCTAAAAGAATCCCATTATTCTTTTCTCTAAACAAAGAATAAGAATGTTGCTGTATATTTTTTTCTATTATTATAATACAAATAACATAAGGGAAAGATCCTATATACAAGCTATATGAATAAAATCATTTGGAAAATGAATGCGACTAATCAAAGCTTTTAAAACCAAATGTTATAAATTTTTTTATAACAACAAAGATAAAATTATTTACTAATGTCCATTGAACATCAAAACCTCTTAATTGAATAAAATATAATAAAACTTTCAACGTTTTTCAAATGATAACATATGCTTTAATTATTTTTATTAGCCATTAATATAACTTTTAATATTTTATTAAAAAATATACCAACAATACCCCATTTATTTTTTTAATAAAATATTAGTCATATATTTGGGTAAGGAAACAAATATAATACATAATAAGGGTGTCAATGGCTTGAACCCTTACTTAGTGTTTCGATAATATTGCTCTCAAACAAATAATGAACATTGTCATGAACTAAGGCTTTTTACGAAAAACAACTATTATATCACATACATTATATCCGAGTACTTTGCAAATGAGTTTCGAGCTATCACATTATAATCTCCTACTTCATCCCAACTTCTACGACCGTTTTAAAGAATTATCCTTATTCTCATAGGAAGCGGCCTCACTCCCTCATTCATATAGGTGTATCTATCAAGAATGCTCCCATAACTTTAACATTCCATTCAAAAATAACTATAGACCATATTAAAAATTTTCATTTAAGGAAACTTAACCTCTCTTTTATTATGAGATTCATGCACTATACCATAGGAATAAACATACAAGTATTGTAACTTAAATAAAATATGCATATAATCAAACCACTCTATACTCGTTCTTCTTTTTGAATCTAGTTCTTGGGATCTCCGATCTATAGGTAGAGTATCCACATATGTGATTTTAGTCATTTATGAGCTTAGTCTCATCTCACTCGATGCATCATCCAACCCTTTGACTTTAGATAAAGATTTAATCTTGTAATTTTTAACACACACACACACACACACACACACACACACACACACACACACACACACACACACACACACACACATATATATATATATATATATATATATATATATATATATATATATATATATATCAAAAGGATTAGGCAACCAACACTCAATCAATTTATTAGTGATAAGACAAGTGGTATGAATTTTTCATTCACACTAACAAAGCATAAGATTCACTTACTTTATTGGCTTGACCTTTTAGCAAATTTAAGTTTCACTAGATACACACCAACCAATGTAATCATATTTTTATTTATTTCTTGCATCATCATAATCATGTTAAAACATGATGACATCTTTGAATCTCTTTTAATACAATGAAAAACATTTAACATAATCACATTAAGGTAAATATGGATATTTTTCAATCTCTAGTTTTTCATATATACTTGACATCATTGTATCTCATTTATACAATATGAATGTTAATATCTAGCTAAAAATTTAAATTTCTCAAAATATCACCAATTTTCTCATTAAATAATGTCATTACAACACCATTGTATTTTAATTATACAATATGAGTGTCTTTAATTCCATTTATTAGATATATTATCAAAAAATCATTGTATCTTAATTTTACAATATGGTGTTTGTTTTAACCCATATAAGGCCCACTGAGGTTTACAAACTTTCTTTGGAGAATGAGAATAACCTAGTGGAGGATGCATATAAACCTCTTCTTGTAAATCACCATTAAGGAATACATTTTTGACATCCATCTAAAAAAGTTTTCAATGATTGACATCCGTAATGGCCAATAAACCATGAACGAGAGGTTATTTGTGTAAAAGGAGCAAAAATTTCTTCATAGTCAATACCATATCTTTGAGTGTAACATTTTGTCATCATGCAAACTTTGTAACCCTTAACAGTTCCATCCGAGCCAGCTTTGATTTTGTAAATCCATTTATGCCCAATAAGAATCTTATCGGGAGGAAAATCAACTAAGTTTGAAGTACGAATTTTTTTTAAGGCCCGAAGTTCTTCATTCATAGCTTATTACCGGAGAGGGTCATTACTTGCCTCATGATAAGAGCGAGGCTCATGCAAGGTTATAATAGTAGAAAAAAATGATAATCTTAGAGATGAAGATGAGTGTCTTTGCTTGAGTGAAATGACAAAAGGAAACAACGAGCATATAAGCAACATTAGGAACTAAGTCTTGAGAAGCATAAGCAAGAACCGTATGAGCGAGGTCATCTAAAGAAGTCGTATTAGGTGTAGAAGATATAAAAGGTGTATGAGTAACATCATGAGTGACTTCAAGAGAAACAAAAGCAATTGCAGGATGAGTATTAGTGAGATCTTCGAATAAGCCGTATCACGATCAAGAAATAACTCAACGAAGTGTTAATAAAAAATAGAGTAGGAGTGGTGAAAGAAGAGTGGAATTTTGATAAGAAAGAACACATGCTATTTTCCCAAAAAGTGGCATGGCGAGAGATACGCAACCTATTGGAAATAAAATCTCAATATTGATAACATTTATGTTCTATCCGATAACCTAAGAAACAAAAAAGATGAGTATGAGGTTCTAATTTTGTTTATTCACGATGTTGTAAGAGAATAAAAGAAACACAACCAAAAGGTTTAAGAATAAAATAATCGGGAGGCTTACCAAATAATTGTTTAAAAATAGACATATTATTAATAACTTGAGTAAGAGTGTGATTAATATTATAGACAATAGTTAGAGTTGTTTTTCCTTGAATTTTTTTAGGACAAGAGTCGAAAGAAAAAGGACATGAATAGAATCAAGAATATGATGATATTTTCGTTTAGCTCGACCCTTTTATTAGGAGGCATGATGAAAAGGACGTTGAACCAAAGTACCCTATTGAGAAAGAAATTAAAGAAGATAAGAGCCTTGATATTCCATAGCATTATTAGTACGAATTATTTAAATGGTATGAGAGAATTGAGTTTTAACCATAGTAGCAAAGTTAATATAAAGTTTTAGTAACTCAAATCATTCTTTCAGAATATGATTCCAAGTAAAATGAGAATAATAATCAATAAATATAACAAAATATTGATAACGATTTATAGATGGGGTAAGAGAAGGTCTCCAAATATCATAGTGAATTATATTAAAGAAACATCGGACATGGAGGTACTGTTGTTAAAAGACAAAATTAGTTGTTTAGTTAGTTAACAATTTAAACAATTAAAAGACTTAAATTTTGTAAATTCTAATAACCATAGGGAGGCTAAAGAATAAAATTTACTAGCAGAAGCATGAACTATGTGAAGATGCCACCGACATGAAGATGAATTAGATGTGGTAGCAGTTGACATATTTCTCAGGGGAGATGAAGCAAGGTAAGCTCAAATAATCAACCCACATTGCAACTTGTCCTAAAAGTTTATCCCATTTGTGGATCCCATACCCGAGAATCGAAAGAGGAAAAAATAACATCAAGGTTAAGATCACATAGTTGTC